TGACAAGCTGTAGACAGGAAGAGAATACCAATTCAAAAACAAATCCAACATGTTTGGAATGGTGAATGATATTCTGTGCCCTCCTGCAACTATTTTTCAAACATTGCCTGCCCTTTACACCTGGTGCCAAACAAGCAGTTAAGGCAGAATTAAATTACTTTGTGGTTATTAGTTGGCGCAGCATAATGAGGAAAAGGGGGCACTTAGTTTGATACAAGGCATCTCCCTGCTAATGCAAACATGGAATCAGTCAGGTGAGACTGAGATTGCACAGGGATCTAAATCACACTGAAAAAATGATTTATTGTGCAGCCCTACCCTCAAGTCTTCAGATGTGAACCAGGAAGGCATCTCATTATGTTGAGTTAGTTAAATGCTAATAATTCTGATTGGTTCTGACAAGCTAAATGTTGTGAATGAGGAACATCCAAACATGTATCATGTGAAAAACTAGAAAAAAAAATATTTCTATGCCATCTGATCATATTGGCCTTATTTCCAAGACTCAGACTGCTCTCTGCCTGCGCCCAATGATGGTTTTAAAATAAAACTCAAAGCTTGAGAAAGCTGCAACCACGCTTTTATCTTTTTCTGGAGTAACTTCACTCGTGTGGATCTCCTGGTGTCAGTTCTTAGTTTTCCACCACCCCATGCACAGCATTATATTCAGGCATACTGTATAGTGATTAATATCTAGACAAAATGCAGTAAACAAGAGTCCATGACAATTACCTTGCACTTCTCATCATCTGGGTAGGTCCAGTAGGAGATGCAATACCCAGAGAGCACACACCACCTCCTGTGCCAGGCTCCAAATCCACTAACATCTTCAAACATTGTCTGAGGTTTACAAAAAAAAAAAAAAAAAAGGTAATTAGATTGCCTGCCTCATCACTGGTCCATCCAGTGATCATTTGATAAGCTACCACTCACCAGAAAGCCCCTCTCTTCCACCTTCGAGCCAACTTCACACTGCATCTTCATGTAGATGTGGCCCTCCAGAGGGCACAAGAATGGCACCTTAAGTTTTAAAGCAGAAACACTTAAGGAGAAGCACAGAGATCACGTTCACAATACAAAACTTGAAGTTACAAGATAAGGTTAAAATGCAAGCCTGCTTTTAAGATGGTTAAACCCGGTCACCGACAAGCATAGACGTGAAAATCAAATCTCATTCCAATCAAGTTGATAATGTTAGCATAACAACACAGGTAAGAATGATTTTTGTTAGCGTGCTCATTCTTCCCCACACGAAAAGATCAAATAACAATATAGCAAGTAGTAACCTTGGTATGAAACATGCCACTGAGCAGTTCTCTTTACCTTCATTCATATTTGATCTAACAAGGCAGGTGAATAAACGCACAGGTATAATATGCTGTCCTATGCGAACAAACATGGTCTCTAAAGCCTCTATACAGATATCACTATAACACAATTAAGCCATTAGTTGGCGTTATACAAAGAGTATGGATAGAGTGTCTTCAGCCAAAGGCCAGCCATATGTGAAAGGCAGAAAAAAAAAGAAAAACTCAAAAGTGCAAATGTGGAAATACACAAAGAACATCAGAATGGTGATATTAATGACTTCTCTACCTTCTCCAAAGGAAACTTGCTTTTGCCAATAGAGGACAGGGTGAGCTTGTGCAATCCCACCAGGACGAAGTTACTGGTGCGAACAGCATTAGGGCCTCCTGGACTGGCAACAACTTCAGAAAGACCAGTTGAAACCATTATCACCACATGTTTAAGCTTAATCCATTGAGTTTTTACACAGAGATTAGTTCAATTGTTCTAGGTAGCACTACTCAGCACAACAGAAAGACAGTTCACTGTTCATGGCCATGAGGCTTTTCATGATGCAAAAAATTTCATTCATTCATGGCATTACTCTCCTCAGTAGTACCGTTATTTAGATTGTATATTTTGACATACCTGGTGTCTGTCCACTTTTCTGCTTGACAAAAATACAACGTAGAGCAAATTAAATAACAATTATAATTTCTTGAGGAAAGAACAGTGCAGCACGAAACAGATTTGAAATACTTACAGTAATGGCAAGGAATCTCTTTGGAGTGATAGCCTAGAAGGATGAAGCAAACAATATGGTTTTGCTTCACATATAAAATTGGGAACCTGAAATACAATCTGCTAGAGTGATATGCATCTTGCTGCTCACTTAAACTTCTTCTTCACTAAATGAAACTACCACCTGAAGTTGTGCAGAGAATTTATTTTGCAGTGGTGACATTCTTTAGACCCAATACTAGGCGAGAGAGAAACAGTATTTTGATTTTCTGTATGTCCTGCACATATGGTGAACTGACAATAAAATCCTTGAACCTGCACATGTGGTGCACACCCATCAGAGTATGGGATATGACACAAAAACTGTTCATAGCGACATAAAAAAAATCATGGGCTTCATGAACCAGTCTCCAGATTGTCTGGACACATACTCAGCATTAAAGCATGATCCATCATTGCCAAGGTGTTTTCCTTTGGTTTGGAAACAAAAGCAAAAAGGGAATTACCTTTGATTTGCTGGGTTTCTTCTTCCTGTCACTGCAGACCTCACGTTTCTGCACCTAAAGGTGTCAGTCAACCCACGGATGGTCATGTGTAGGCAATGAGTAATTATAGATAGCAGCTCAATATTTAAGGTTTGATATGTTGCAGTTATCCAACAATGTGTTTTGCATGGCACATGATTAACAAATATCAACACTGAACCAGACAATTTGTACTGGTTGACCATGCCATATGCATTGCATGACGTGTACCCCAATATCTTTGCAGCACTATGGGAATTAAAAACTAATGGAAACACATTTGCTAAGAAACCACACATTTTAATTTCCACAATTTCTGAATTTCAGTTGTATCCTATAAGAAGCTAGAAAGCAGGAAGAGGAGATGAATGTATGAGAGAAGTACAAGAGGTTTTTGAGTTTAGTTTACAAAAGGCAATTCAAATAAAACTGGAAACCAAGTGCAAGTGTGGTGAATGCATCATTATTCTGGAGACACTCACCAGGCAATAAACCTCAATATCAATTTCAAAGTCACTGGAGACATCAGATCTGAAAGTGAAGAAGAAGGAGAGGGGTATTTGTTAATAATTTTCAACAAAATCATATTTAATGAACACCAGCATAGGAAGTGATGTGTTTCTATGAGAATCAACTGAATTTGAACGAGTTTGACCACACTTCACCAACATTAAGTAGTCAAAAAACACACACCACAAAGGCAAGATGTCTGAATAACCAAATAATCATTAGACAGGATTATTAGTTTTTTTAGGTAATCAGTCTTAAAACTTTCCTTTAAAGCTTATAGTTAGGGCTGGCTCAGGTGACCCTTCCCTTCGCAGCTATAAACCAAGGATGGGCATTTCAAGCTAAAATACAATTCGAAGTTCACTGGGAACTATTTGACAATCCGTGGTGGTGGAAAACACATTCGCCAAGTTTTCAGCAGTACGCCACTCCAGCATTGCTTTAATCTGAATAATGGCACACTGTATTTTCCGGTTGTTTATATAATGGCAGCTGACTGTCACATAAGATTCAGCCTTAAGCAGGGTATACATTTCACGACGGCTATGCTGTTGTTGCCCTGGCATCTGGACATGTTGCTCAGTATATCTGTCGAAGTTGCACGGCCACAGACACCAGTGTGCCCTCATCAGATGTGACTTTTTACGTCCATAAAACCTCCATGGTTCATGTGCTGTAGAATTTAATGTTAGAGTCTTTAACACCACTTAGTAACATCAACATTTTTATGAACTGCTGGTGCTTTATGTTTGCTATATCTATGTGCAATTTTAGCTTAGAGTGTGTATCAGTCAAGCTAGTGGTGCAACAATAAGGTTTCCTTCAGTTTTACTGGGTAAGCTGGTCGAAGGATATAATACTTCGCTGTCTATAAGCTGTAAGAAAACTCAGAGGCTGTAAAACGTTACATGTATTGTTGAAATGTACCATGTTTTCTCTATTTAAAATATTGCATATTCTAAATAAGCCCTGATATTGTCAGTACTAATATTTATATCTAATTGTCAGTGTTAATGTCCAGTTATCGTAAAAGCAGACTTGTACACTGTAAAATGAGAACATTTGTGTCAGTTTTTTTTTTTTTTTTTTTTTTTTTTTTTTATAACCACCTGAAAACCAAACAACAGTAATACAGGTGCAGTTAGTATACTATACACACATTATACACACATTTCCATTTAACATTTCTACAAGCATCTGCACTGTAAACATAGTATGTATGCTGTGAACACCAAACCCTAGCTAGTAACTTTGCTGCTCAAGTTGTATACACAAAAGCTATGCAGACATACCTTACCTGTCATGTCATTTGTCTCTGCCTTAGTTGCCAGTCTAGCAGCCTCAGAACATGTATGAAATCAAAGGCCAAAGTGCCTTGCCCTTCAAATCATGAATATTATGGGCTGGTTGTAAACTCTGTCCATGCACCCGTGGTCAGAGACACCTTTCAACACTTATCAAACAATTGCACAGCTCACATGCATTATCCTCATACAGTTTGTCCAGTTGTGCTGTGACCATTTTTCCTGATGGGACCTGAACAAATGCCACCAAACTTGGAACTCCACCTGTCAACAAAGTTAATGAGTAGCATGTCCTTTGCTAACATCTTTGTGATGAGAGCTGTTATTTGCTCTGCATGTTGATCATTAAACTTCCTTCATTGGGTGACAAAGCTAACCACTGACTACACTCTGCGGACCACACCCCACTTTCTGCTGGATCCCTCACCCTCAAATGCCTGTGCATAGTTGTCAATTTATTATTATGTTAACCTGGAAAAGTTTGCATTGCACCTCATTTAAATTTTTTTTCCTGTTAGTCATGTAATTTTTTTTTTTAATTTTTTGATGGCTGTAGTCTCCACGTTTCTGCTGTTTGTATTTGGCGCTGCAGTAAAATGATACACTGATCTCGTTATCACATTATTTCCAGGCACCGGTAAAAGCGAGGGAAAACAGTGGCTCTTTGCTTTTAAAGAAAAAAAATAATAAAATCAGTCGCATGAAATATATATTTTTTTTATTTATTTAATGACTATTTGAATGCTTGAAAATCATTGCACATCCCTACTACAGACCTAGACTGCAGTAAACATGCACTGAAATGGCCGCTCACCAAGAGCCAGTGTCTGTTGGAGGTTTCTTCTATTAAAGGGAGTTTTTTCCTCCCCACTGTCAATAAGTGCTTGCTCAAGGGGGGTTTGTGGGGTTTTTCCCTCTAAAATGCTGTAAGGTCTTACAATGTAAAGTGCATCAAGATGATGTTCTGTAGTGATATGGGGCTATACAGATAAACTGAGTTGAATAATATGGCATGTACTCTGTTATACGAGTAAGAGTGCTTGACTTACATGGTGAACTTGGTAGGGAAGGTGAGCGTGTCTCCACTGAGACCATAGTGTGTGCTGGCCAATGGAGTGGCTACAGTATTCTCAGCTCCAGCCCGAATCATGATGAAGATGGAATGTTTGGTTGAGTCTAAATTAATCAAAAGAAAAAAATAATAGACAACCCTCACAGCAATAAATACAGTGATACTGATTAAATCCAGATAAAGCTCACATGGAATTTCAATCTCAGCACTAGATCTGAAGGTATGAATCAAGAATAAAGAAAAAAAAAAAAAAAAAAAAAAAAAAAAAAAAAAAGGCTCAAGTTTCCATTACTTTAATTCCTAACACTAATATCAGTAGTCTCTTTAAAGAGCCTATGACATAGTAGCCTCTTTAAAGAGCCCATGACATTCTTCTCCTTGTTTTTTTCTGACTTCTCTACAGTGTTGTGGTGAATTATCATCAGTCTGGCAAAAAGCTGTATCTGTGCATCCATAAATGCATCTTCTGAATCGTGGTTATATGTATTTTGAGTGTACCTGGCTTGTTGGCAGTGGAGCAAACAAAATCTGCTTTAAGAGGCAGGCGCAGGTCCTGCAGAGTGATGGAGCCCGTGGAGGCAGACATGCTGTTGGGTTGTAGGGCTGCAGGGGCCTTTTTCTGTCCTGCTGGATTTCCTTTCAGATGGTCCAACTCTGCCTTCAATGCCTCCCTTTTCTCCACTAAGTCAAAAAGAAAGTCATGGTTTCATACAACATGCATAGTCACACAAAAGCACCAATTTGGAGTATTAGCATTTGTTACATCTGTATGATATGTGGTCTCAAATTCTATATGCCAGTATTTTCTTTACATTCTAAATGCATCTTACTGGTGTTCGGTTTTGTTAAAAGCTATGATGTTAATTGCAGATGTCTGATCACAGCAAACAGGACAAAATACAGCATCCATTAAAAGCTAGTGTTAGCTGACTAAGGAGTACATTTGGCAATTCAGCAGAACATTCAAGGCAAAGCATTAACCTTTCACAAAGCTTAATTCAGCCTGAAATTAAAATCACATACATTATTTCAGAAAAAAGTTAAAATGCTAACTATGCGAGGTCACTAACGTTACCACATTTGAAAAAGATTTCATTAAAAGGTGCTGTTTGTACGCTTGTACGCTCTAGAAGACTTTATGAGCAGAAATGGACTATAGTATGCATAATTATGTTTTCATTCATAAATAATCATCAGAAAATAAGAATCGTGTTTTCTTTAGCTTAGAATGAGCCTTTTATATCTACATAGGAGCAGGTTCCTTATGATGGAAGCAGCCACATTGAGCTGCCAAGGTTTTTTTTTTTAGTGTTTTTTTTTTTTAATGGCAGCTTAGAACAGAAACACGCTGGCAGCTTGGATGAGACAAAAAAGTAACATTACAACAGGAGAAAGCATTGATGTGACCTATAATTTGAAGAAATTAAGGATCAAAGTTATAGTTTAACACAAGAAAATGGAAGACCGTATAAACCCCCTCATCAAAGAAACGAGACAGGTGATGGCACAAGACGGATGGAAAACCTTGATATGGGTCAAATGTTTCTAGAATGACACCAAAGTTGTCTGCTTTCTGCTGGACAGTCAATTTAGCCTAACTGAATCCACACTGAAAACAAGATGTGAGCAGCACGTTCTCTGTCTTTGTCAACAGAACAGCTGTCTGTCCGTCAGCAGGAGAAAGGGTCTTCAACAGGTGGACAGACAGCACAAATATACTGGAAAAAATAGCTTTCATGTCATCAGGAAGAAATCCTGTCTTTATGTAGCCTAGGGATTTATTGATGTTATTGATTTTCCTGGGCTCTACAGCTGACTTAATCAGGCTGCTTTGAGTTTCATTTTCACTCTCTGTAGAGCCAAGCCAGTCAGTAGCGCTTGTATCACGTTCAGTGTGGATTCAGTTTAACAAGTAACCTAAATGCAAGATTTGTTTTATAGTTTTAGCTAGAACATGGCCAGTGCTGGGTAACCCACTGCAGTCAAGTGAGCGGCCATTTTCTTTTGCTTGCTTGGTTTTTGTGTGTGCAATTTGTTCTACATTTACGGCAATTGCTATGAGGGCTGTTTAACACTATGAGCTTTGCTGAAAGTTGCAATCAGCAAACTCGCCCTAGATGTCACTACATCTCACATACTGCATTATTAAGGTGTTGTTGACAAAAATAAAACTAGCACTATGGTGAAAAAAACCATGATTTAAAACTTTGGAATTGTGTAAATATTATTCTGGTTAGTGTTGGCATTACCCTTGTATACAGCTTCACGAATTCCTACACCTGTGCAGCACTAAACCCAGGAATAAGGGTGCCCTATAGCCCCAGAATCGGCATGTTATCTAACAAACAAACAAACAAAAAAAAAGCCTTGATGAACTCACTTGCTACCAGCAGCAGCCTCTCTGCCTCAGCCTCCACCTGGGATCCTTTGCCATGCTCTTCATCTGTGCAGCAGTTGAGAGCCTGACTGGCCTGATGAATAACTGTCTGCTGCAGGTTTATCTCACTTGTCAGAACCTATAGGTACATAAAACAGTTTATTATACAGAGGGCAAGCTTTACTGAGCTATTTGAAACATTCTACTGCTAGTCATGTATTTTAAGAAAAGGTGTCCCGTTTTATTCTCCTGTATGCAAATCAATTCCTAAGTGCATAACAGAGCTCACATAAAGCTGGCACACTCATACTTCACACTGGCATGAAAAGTTAAACACGAGATGTTCCAAACCTTCATCTTCTGTTTCATATTCAAGACACTGGATCCTCTGGGTTCTTCTGCTTTGTGAGAAACATCCTCTTTTCTCACAATAACCTGCTTCATATTGGGTCTCTCATTGTTCTTTATTCTAGTAGACCTGTATGCATCAATGCTAACACACGCAAAAGCAAAGTATATATAGTAAGATTCATGTACATTGCAACAGCAAGGACAGCCAATGTCAGTATGCGTCCATCTGAGTGTTGCACAGAAGCACTCACCTGTAAGGGAGTTTATGGTCTCCATCTGAGGCCTCAATGCTGTCCAAGGAGTCAGTCCATATCATGTTAGTTCTCTGGAACCTGCTGGGCTTAGACACATTGTCTGGTGTGTTCTTCACGATGAATGAACTGGCTGGAGTTGATGTCTGCACATGAAGAATATGCTATTTGTTGTTAAACTGACATATTTGCCACTTCCAGAAAGGGCTAATAGTAAGTCATACATGAAGTAGCAGTGGTAGAAAGATGTGATGTAGGTGCCTACCATCATTCTCCTCTCTGGACTTTTTACCACAGCACCCACAGTCTCTGCCAGTGGGGTGAGGAGGGACATGGAGGAGATATTCAAAGCATCTTCCTCGTCTTCATTCTGATCATCACTCTGCTCCAGGACCCCATCAAACAGCTCATTGATAACTGCAGAGTTGATGGTCTGGTCCACATTCATCTCTATCTCCTTGACTACCTCTGCTTTTTCTAGAGGTTCATCGGTTGGTTTCTCTACAGTATGGGCCACCACCCTCAGAGGACTGGATGTGGATGCTGGAGGCGAGATCAGCAACTCATCACCTGCTTTTAACAAAATGTATATTAACAAGCTGTTGATAGTTTTTTATCCCTTCAATACATCAGTTGGTCTATAAAATGTCAGCAATTGTCAAAAACATGCCATTTGCAGTTTCCCAGAGTTTAAGGAGTCTTCAAATGTTTTGCTGTCTGATCAACTCTGATAGTGTTAACTTTTCTACATGCATGCCAGCAGTGAAGCTCACTTGTAGAAGGCACTTAACATCTCTCTACCCTAATACATCTCTACATAAGACTTACCCAAATACTCTGTCTACACAAATTCCCAAGTGTATGATAGAAAAATGGCTTTAAATATTTCACACTAAACTCTCTTACTAACAGGTCGAACATAGCTCAGCGACAAAAACAGCCCCAACAATTCAACATCATGGTGAAAATTACAGAGTAGAATCCAGTATCTTCATGTCGTTACCAGTAATGTTGCAGCCTGCATTATTCAGGGTAACCAAAAGATGGCTCTTTCTTTAAGATAGGCATGTCTGTAAATGTATATTTACTCAGACTGCATGTGTAGTCAAACTGTGCCAAAAGGTCTTAGATCTTCAAATCCGCCACGTAAAAGACTTTGCAAGGGATTAGTGTTTGTTTCGCCAGCTGAATAAATTTCTACCAGCCAGCAACACAAGTTGTTTCAATAATCATATAGTTTTTACATTAGACAATGCATTCTTTAATGGCACTGTACCATCATTTTACTTGGAAAACAGGTTGTCAAAAACACATTTCTAGTGCAACTGCACAAAATTGTTTTGCAGTACACTTTTAGAATATTGTTCTTTTTATTCTAAACCACAGCATCAAAAATGCTTAAAAGTCTGATAAAAATAATAGGGTTTGGCTTTGGTTAGTCCAGTTTTTTCCCCCCAGTTTGAGGAAAATTTGTCCTGGTAGCAAAGAGCTTAATGGATAAAAGAATACCAAATTCTTACAAGTCAATACCAAGTATAAAATCTAGTCGCCCCTCTGGACCACCATGAAGTACCTGGAGGAGTGCATTTAGTGGGTGTGTCTGTTCTCTCAGACAGTACTGTGGGTTCATCCTGTAGTTCACATGGGGCAGATTCAGTCTGCACAGGCTTAGTATGCTGTATAAAAAAGGTTTATTACCAGTTAATATTGTAAATACTAACAGTGAGATGTCAAATAACACTTCTGTCATTTATCTTTCAGATGTAGGTTTGTCAGCCAACCTTGATATCTGAGCATTTTTTGGGTTCTGCTGCTTCATCTTTGGTTATCCACATATTGTTCCCCTTCTGGAAGCGAGTGCGAATCTGAGCCAGCTCACACTCACGCTCCTGAAAGGGTGGGGATTTTATTTAAAAAAAAACAAACAAACAAACTCATTTTGTTATCATGAAAAAACATGATCACAACAATAAGATGACACACTGCAGTGGGTGAAACATTAACCTACCAGCTTCTGTTTTTGAGTGAGATCTGCAGTGGTTGTTTTTGCAGCCTGGGCAGCTCTGAGTCTCTCCTGTACCATTCTGGTGTTTGGTGTGACTGAGGGAGTCAGTCCCTCAACAGTCTTGGCCAGGATAGTGCCCCCAGCTGGAGAGCTCTGGTTTGTACGCTCTTGGCACCTCTCTCCAAAGCGCTCCAGGAAAGATTTTACACCTTTTGGAAAAACACTTCTTTTCATTCATGTGGAGGAAACTAACTGCAAGTTCAAAAATGAAACAAATCTGTGTAATATTGCTTTTTGGGTTAAAGATAAAAACACAAGGTCTTGTATATACATAAGACTGAGGATAATTATAATCCTGCTCAACCACAAAACCAGTTTTTTAATTCTCTCTATAGATGGGTTTCCTGTTTACAAACATTTGAGGATGCACATGCATCTAGGAGGTAGAAAGCACACCAGTGCACTATTATGCTTGCTTGTCTTTGAATCTGTTGAACAAAGCCAGCAATTACAGCTGCAAGTCTTGTGGGATATGTCTCTACCAGCTTTGTACATCTAGAGATGGCAATTTTTGGCCATTCTTCTTTGCAAAGTAACTCCAGTTCAGTCAGATTGGATGGAGAGCATCTGTGAACAGCAATTTTCTAGCCTTGCCACAGATTCTCAACAGCATATAGGTCTGGACTTTGACTGGGCCATTCTAACACATGAATATGCTTTGATCAAACCATTCCATTGTAGCTCTGGCTGTAGGTTTAGGGTTGTTGTCCTGCTGGAAGGTGAACCTCCGCCCCTGTCCCAAGTCTTTTGCATCTGACCAGAGCACCTTCTTCCACATGTTTGCTGTGTCCCCTACATGGCTTGTGGCAAACTGCAAATGGGACTTCCTATTGCTTTCTTTCAACAATGGCTTTCTTCTTGCCACTCTTCCATAAAAGCCAGATTTGTGGAGTACACGACTAATAGTTGTCCTGTGGACAGATTGTCCCACCTGAGCTGTGGATCTCTGCAGCTCCTCCAGAATTACCATGGGCCTCTTGGTTGCTCCTCTGATTAATGCTCTCCTTGTCCGGCCCATCAGTTTAGGTGTACGGCCATGTCTTGGTAGGTTTGCAGTTGTGCCATATGCTTTCCATTTTCGGATGTTGGATTGAACAGTGCTCGGTGAGATGTTCAAACCTTGGGATATGTTTTTATAACCTAATCCTGCTTTAAACTTTTCCACAACTTTATCCCTGATCTGTCTGGTGTGTTCCTTAGTCTTCATGATGCTGTTTGTTCACTAATGTTCTATAACAAACCTCTGAGGCCTTCACAGAACAGCTGTATTTATACTGAGATTGAATTAGACACAGGTGGACTCTATTTACTAACTAGGTGACTTCTGAAGGCAGTTGGTTGCACTAGATTTTATTTAAGGATAGAGTAAAGGTGGCTGAATACAAATGCACGCCACACTTTTCAGATTTTTATTTGTAAAAAATCCTGAACACCACGTATCATTTTCCTTCCACTTCACAATTATGCAATACTTTGTGATGGTCTATCACATAAAATACCAATAAAATACATTAAAGTTTGTGGTTGTAATGTGACAAAATGTTGAAAAGTTCAAGCAGTATGAATATTTTTGCAAGGCACCGTATACTGTTATTTACCTACACTTACTCCACTTTCATATTATGCCTCAAACAAGTCAGGTAGGATTTGAGGTATTGTAATTGTCAAAAATGTAGCTTATTTGTCAGTGTTTTTGTTTATGTGTTGTTGTAGCCTCCTGACCAGAAACAATGTCACAATCTTCTCATTCTCTGTTGGAAAGAATGTTTTCCCTTTGGCCTGTTGACATTTTCCAGCCGTCCTTCGAGCAGTTTACTGCACAAGTCCTTGTCATATTACTTTAAACAATCATTCTGCTTTGTTTTATGCTTCCAAGGTAGCACGCCTCTCATTCATGACATTGCTGGGAAACCCATCTATAAAACGGGCCTGATCACATGCAAATATAACAAAGGAGGTGCTCAGGAATGTTCCTGGGACATGGTCAAATAAAAATGGTTATAAGTACACATACTGTAGCCACAATGATAAAAAGAAGCTGAAGTACAAACATGACTCACCAGGAGCTCCAGCAGTGGCCTTTTCCTGGGAGACAAAGGGTCCAACAATGGCAGGCTTGGCACAGAGATTTGGCTTCTGAGGGCTGGCAGTGAGGTCGAGTCCCCTTGAGAGAACCTGATTCTTCAGGGGGCTCTGAGGCACTGATGTTGAGGAGGAGGGGCCAACCTTCTGTGGACTGGAAGGGAAGGCTGGTCCATGGTTAGAGTTCTTCTGGGGACTCGAGGTGATGGTTATCCCCTTGTTGGAACTCTTCTGAGGGGTGATTTCTAAAGGAAGTGCTGGTCTGACTGCAGGGGTGTCATCCTTCTGGAGGCTTGGGAGAACCACTCGGCTATATTTGACAGGAGAATACTGCTGGCGGGGGCAAAAAACAACCAACAAACACAGCATTATGTGAAACTGTCAAAGTTATTCAGCTAAGGCAGCATTCAGACTGAGTTTCAAAGCTGACCTTTAATTCAGTGTTTCTTTAAAGTGGGTGAAGAAACTCAAACATGTTGCTCTTCATATTCAGCAAGTCTCAAGCTTTTCTATGCTGGAAATGTGAGTTTAGCATCTGATAAGAATTGGCAGCCGAATTAATTTCCCCTTGAAGAATCAACTTTTTTCCAATGGGAGACATACAGTTATACATGAAATGCTGTGTTTGTAAAAGTGGCTGAAGTGCTTCCAGTTTATGTCCATCTGGGACCCTTATTGCATCTCTCACCTCATTTCTTCTCACCTCTCACATGCTCATTTCATGCCAAAATTAAAAATGCCCCCAAATACAGTACATGCTGACCAAGTGCTGATACGAGTTTCGGCTATCAGATCCACCGATACCAATGAACAACAGCGTTACAATAACCTCACGCTGGCCAAGCCGGTCATTAGGCAGCAGAGAAGAAATTCTAGCAGTTCTGAGATATTTTAAGATAAGTGACAACACCAAAAGTAAAGCCAACTGTTAGCGCCGATTCTGTTTTGTGTGTGTGTGTGTGTGCGCGCACACACAAGTGCCCCTCCCTCCACACCTCACACAGACATGCAGGCAAGAGGTTGCATTTTACACTGACGTCAACAATCAATATGTGCAACAAAGCCAACAGCAATAGAGTAATTAAATTAGCAACTTTTGAAGAAACAGAACAACAACAACAAACTTTCAGAAATGTGATGTCTCCACTGTCCCTGTGGTCAAAATGCCTGGTCCCATTCATTCCACTAAATCCACCCCAGTACTCATTTTGCTGGTTGTAGTAAACAGGAAGAAAACAAATGCTAACTTTGTGTAGTTAACAGACGTCTAATGAGCTCTGTGTATGAAAGTGTGTTGAATCCTTCTGAACTTGGAGGCTGAGACCAGCAGCTACTCTGCAGCAGAGCAGGTTTGTGTCCAGCAGAAAGGAGAGAGTGAGGCCACAAACAGTAGCCAGCTTAACATAATGTAGCCTTGTTAAATTAAACATTTAAATTGCCAAACGTGATAATATGAGCTCCTAAACTGTGACGTTTTGGTCACTGAGTTGTGAAATCCTTACATCCTAACACAGGGTCGCACTGCCAGAGGTTAAAATCCACTGTATCACAATAAGCTGGGTAGCAGGTTACAGACAGTCAGTTACATGTTATTCAGTAGGAATGGTGGCAGTGCTGTGTTTGTTATCACAGGAAGTTTTCAGGTAATTTGCACAGCCTCCTGTTACATAGGATACTCTATTTAATCACTATCAGAAAGTCAATCATATGCTATTTGCACCTCATCACCAACGCCCTGGTTATGCTAAACCATCTGACGATCTCCTATTATTGTTTGCACTACTGTGACTGACTGTACACGGTTTTGACTCACAGCTTATTGGATGTACCGCTTAAATTTATCCTAATTACTTCAATCCAGTTCTTATTTTATCCTATTCTATTTTTTTCTACTTTATTCTATTTTAGTTCCTAAATGTTATGGCACCCAATACTAGGTGAGAGAGAAACGGTATTTCAATTTTCTGTATGTCCTGCACATATGGTGAATTGACAATAAAATCCTTGAACCTTGAACCTAAATCTCATGAAACTGTCTCCACAATCATTGCACTTTTATGGTAATTTCCTATAGTAGAAACATTGCATCATGAAGTAGGTAAAAATACCTGATCACAGCCAGATGTGGGCTTGCATCTTGCAGTTGAAGTGGCCACCACATGGAGCACTTGGTTTAGAAGTGGCAGCCGCTGTCACATCTCTGACAGCTAACTTGGGAACAGCTGCATCAGGCTTCTCTTTTGCATTTTCTTTAGGGATATTAGTATGGCTTAGGTCATCTTCCCAGGATCCAATGGTGGCTGCGAGGTTAGCCAGTCTGCCTCTCCTCCCTAGCGGAGTTTCTGAAGACACGGTGGGGACTGCAGCTGGTGAGGCCTCGGCGTGTTTCTTCAACAGAGACAGGGGAGTGCAGTCTGGAACTGCATCAGAGGTGCCTAACAGAAGTGGGCAGGGTTCAGTTTGGCCAGGGACAATTTTGTGTGCAATATAAGAAAGGCTGGACATAATCATAAATTAGCATTTGCAAGTTTTAAATTACCAAGGCACCATTCTAGTGAAAAAACTATAAATAACTTGAATTATGGAATGGTTGTGTGCCTCTACCAACTAGTCAGGTTGCGGTTTATATGGATGTCTGTCTGGAATTTGAATCAATATCCTCAAGTTGTCCCAGAGACAGGAAAAGTTTAGACACACCTTTTCATTCTGTGGTTTTTCTGTTTTTGTTCTAACACGAGAATTAAAGCTTTCACAGCAAAAGGAAACCATAAAAATTTAGATTTGTTGGATGCTGTCAGTACCAGAAGTCCTCTCAAGCAGTTATAAAAGATTCTGTCCTTCAGTTTTTTTTTTTTTTTAACATGCACCTAAGTAACTGGGAGACAGTTGGATCTTTCAAGTACGCTGATTACTTAAGTGTCATGTGAAGAGCAACAGTTTCTATAATTGGGGTAGAGGACTAGAGAAACCTGATCTCCTCAGGTAGGTTACTCCAGGAGGAACATAGATTTTTCTGGCATGTATACACATAATCAGGTTTTCAACGAGCTTCTAAGTATGCATGAACATGGCAGAAGACAGCAAAGAAACAGCAGAGTGGCTGAATGGAAAGTGAGAAAATACAGTGGCATATCTTTGCATTTCAATTAATTTATCCCAACCTAAAGTAGCTGCTAGATGTCTAAGTAAGTCAGTCTACATGTAAGACATTTGACTTTGTTCATGCCCCAGTAAGTACTTTTGTTCGCCGAGTGTAATTCACTTTTACACAACTGTCGTAAATACCAGTTGCACTTTCACCCCTCCTCATGGACAGTGGTACATGTGCATTTGATTACAAGCTGAAACTGTTACTAAACCAGGAAATAAATATCAGAAGCCAATGAATGGTAAAAGCAAAATTACAGGATTTTATACAAATATGACTGCATAGCAATTTTTTAGCTTCACTGAAATACCGCATGTATTCTCAGTTCATATAGTTTGCTAAGCATCAACATGATATAGGATTGTATTGCACATAATATACACTAGGCATTTATTACAGGCTGGCTGAGCTGGGCTTTTTAGACTGCAAACTTCTTTGCAGCGCATCACTGTCACTTGTTTGGCGTGACAGTAATGAAGACTGACCAAACTTTCTGGTGTGAGATGAACGTATTTTTTGATTCAAACCTTAAACACCTACTATTTGCATATAAGGTTTGGACTTTTCATGGTTTTACTGTTGCTAGCTGAAGGGTCTGACCCATTGTAGTTGTGAAATGTCACACAGTTCTTGCGAGAGTTCTCCGAAATGGGATTCCAAAGTTACATAGTGCAATAGCAGACGATTTGGGTACACAGTGGCAATGGCACAGATGCCATTTGCCTTACTACAAAATGATTCTGAAGCCGTTATTTTAATGTAAAAATGTTACATATGGTTGCTTTAAATTAAAAAAAACATTTGTAGTGTAAGCTGTGCTCTGCTGTCTGTCCTTTCACTCACTGTACTGTCTTAAAAAAAAAAAAAACACAACCCTCAAGGTAATGTCTTCTGTCACTACTACAGATAGACTATGATACAGGCCATACCAGGCCAAAAATCTGATTACTGATCTGCTGCATATGCACAGAGATTTATAGTAACCAGTGTAATACACAGTGCATGAAAACGTGTTCTCCAGTTACCCATCTGGTTTCTCTGAGTAATTAAATTAAATTAACTGATCTCAAATAACCCATAAAACATTCTTACCATCACCATCCCAACCCTTTCTCTGCTCAGCTAGCCTCTGAAGACGTGACTTCATGCCAGCAACAGATGGAGCTGGATCGTCCACCAGGGCTGGAGTGGCAGGGGTCGTCTCTGCTTCTCTGCTGCCCAGATCATCGGGAACATTGATGACAGGCACCTTCTCTGGCTCTGGCTCTAGAGTTTTCAGCTGCCCTGGCTGAGAGTGAATAGCAGGACGGGGAGCAGTCTTCTCCAGAGAGGAGGAAAGTCGGACGCTGGCTGGTCCGACTGGAGGTTTCTTGTCTGTGGGAGGATCTGAGAGCACCAGCTTCCAGTTCTCCTCACTGACTGCAGGCTGGACATTTTCCCCCGAGCACCTGCGCTTGGAGGGAGAAGGCTTGGAAGACACCTGTGGAACTGGAGGGAAGTAGTAATATAAGCAAAGACATTCAAGCTAATAGGACAAGTCTCAGAGTACAGAAATACAACATACCTTTATCAGTGAGTGGCTCACTGATCATACTATTTGTGTCAGCCAGTGGCTCTCTGGGCCTTTTAACCATCTGTCTGTTTGCTGCACTTGGTCTCTCTGCCATTTTCTTCTGCAGGTTTTCTCTGCGAGCCCGGGTCCGCTCCAAGAGTTTCTGGATGGACAAAATACAGTCATCAATTGAACAAACTTTATTAAATGACCATTTTATATAAACAATAGAAAGAATAAAATCACCTGTAGCTTCCACAGAATTACCAGTATTAACAGGTTTCATTATAAGTTGCACAATGTTTTATTTATAAACAGGGTTATTGGATTGCAAAAGATTGTTTCAAAGATGTTTCTTTTATTTTGTTCATCCCCTGTGTATATAGCTGTTTTTTTTATCCAATGAACTTTTCTAATGATACATGTGAGTGCTCCCACAGCAAGTCAAATGTTAAAGGTATTACAGTAATTTAAAGTGATACCTCTTGTGCTATCAATAAAACTAATTGGAAAAACTTGACAGTTCAAAGCAACAACTTGTTAGTGATCATAAATATGAAGAACCTTTAATTGCTAGCCTTTGATTGCTCTTTGTCCTTAAAGTAACAGTTTAAGCAATGATTTAAGAATTTGGTAAAAAGTATGCTCGATCAGATCAATATCAGCCTCATGTCCATGTGTTAGCCTAAAGCAGGATTTGTAATTATAAAAGGGAAAAGCTAGAAGACCAATTTGCAATCAACAGGGACTGTCAGTCCATAAAAGACTTTGAATGATTGATTGGCTGAACTGAATTGTTTGCCATGGCAGCAAAGCCATGGTGGGCTGCCACATTTTAATGTTTGGTTAAGGGAATTGGGATTTATCTATAGTCCTGCTGATATGACAACTATATTCATAGACTCTCAAACTACTGTATGCCCATAAGTACAGGGCTGGAGCCAGAAGGTATTTAGTCCAACATGGCATAAAGACCGGAAACAGAGGAAACAACTAGTCGGGATGTGGCTATGTCCAAAATTCAAAAATACACCTACAAACACAACTAAAGCTTGGTAATTACCACTTTGCATGTTGTTGTTTAATTGTGTATGGCTTACATGATCTCTTGTGATCTAACAAAGCATTTCTATCTACTAAATTCTTTATTTATCAGAACAACAACTCTTCTCTTGGATATATGGATCAAAATTTATGTTAGTGGTCAACTGCAAATACCTTTGATGAGTTTGAATCAACTTCTAACTATGTTTTCATTTTGGCATTCCAATAAAGCTTGGGCTGCTTTAACAATCAACACAACTGGTAACTGTAGGACACAAAACAGTCCTACACAAGAGATAAGGCCTTGTGTTCGTTTGCCCTCTTTCCTTCCTCTTTTCTCTACATGACATTCCTCTTCCTTTGATTGACTATCTGTTACAGTGGCACCTGTCAGTGTGTGGGGTATATCAGGCAGCAAGTGAGCATTCAGTCCTCGAAGTTGATGTGTCAGAAGCTGGTAAAACAGGAAAGCATGAGGATCTGAGTGATTCTGACAAGGGTCAAACTATGATGTTGATGACTGGGTCAGAGCATCTCCCACACTGCAGGTCTTGTTGGGTGTTGCTGTCTGCAGTGGTTAGTACCTACCAACAGTGTCTAAGAAAGACAACCAGTGAACTGGAGACAGGGTCATGGATGCCCATGGCTCACTGATGATGAGGTTGATCTACTGTAAATTAAAGCTTGTGGTAGGTTGACTCTGAGCAGCCAGAAATGTAGGAGACAGACTGGAAAAAGACATCAGGTTTTCTCAAATCAGTCATTTGTTTTAAACAAGTGCCAGCAAAGTACACATGCCAAACAAAATCACTAAACAAACTAAATGGTTTAACTTCACATAACTGAAGAAAACTCAACTCAAAATAACTCAACACAACTTACAGGCACGTGCACACAGCTACACTTAGACTGCCACCCTCCAGCTGCTCCACCTCAGCTGATTAAGTAGCCCCTGGTATCAATCAACCCTTTGAAATCCTTGATGATATCACAGAGTGTACAGAATGAGGAAGTGATTAACCACCTCCTCCTTTACCCTATATCCACCTAGTAAATACAATCAAAACATTTAATACACAGGATAAGGCATTAAGAAACATACATGACTTAACTTTGGGACAAGTGGAGTGTTCTCACCCACTTTGTCACAGCCTCACACACACAGCCTGTCACGCTGTATGATTTACTGTGCTGTTCCTTAACTTGGTTAACTGTGCAAGCCTTGACAGATTCCTCCCACTGTGCTGTGCTGCCTGTTCAATTTCTCCAGGCTCTGTGGGAAACTTTGAGTCACATTTTGCAGCATTCCTCAGGAATGAGCCACTCCTGCTTGCAGCTACTAAAAATTTCAAACTCTACTGGACAGGAAACTGGAGTGACAAATTCCTGTTATGTACATATATTCAATACAAATTTATTTGTAGTTTTAGCTTGCAACAACACCATGAGCGCATCAATAAATAGTCAGAAATTAAGCGAAGAAGGACGAGTGCTGGACAGTTTCCAATGCTGAGGCATTCCATTACATTAAATGTCTTTTCATTGGAATAGCTAGTTATTGTGTGTTTTTGGTTGAGTGAACTTAAAGTATAGGGATGTTATAATACAGCGTACAAGGTTAGTAAGTCAGCAGCTTGGCTAAACTAACGCCACGTACCAAAACACTGGTCAAACATTAAAAAGGCACAAGTTATAGTGTTACTGCTTTTAGAAGCTTGAGGCACTTGGTACGGTAGTGTTTTTATTTCATTGTTGTGGTTGCTGACAGATGACAAGACAAAGAAACGACACGTGATATGTTTTCGTTGCATCATTTCAGTGTATTACCATAACTTACATTTCTGTATGATAACACAGGCTTACTTTAAAATTACTGTCAACATAAAAATAGCTCCTGTCATATGTCTAACAGCAAATACTGTTATCGTTAATTTTAGCATAAGCAGCTAACGTTAACGCAGCTATTTCAGCTAGCCGTAGCTACATAACGTTATCTCATTCTTACGTTAGCTCAGCGCCTCACCTCAGTAAATGGATCCATTTCGGACGGGTAATATTCCAACGAATATGTATTTCAGAAATCTTGTACTTGTCTATTCGTGTCGCTTATCCGTGTTCAGGTTTCGTGGCGGTTGGTAGAAACCTTATCAATCTGGTCTCAGCTCCTCTCTATGCATATAACTGTTCAAATTTGAATTTCAGCGCTGCGCCTACTGCGCAGGCTCCAAAAGTTAAACGAATCACTTGACAGCCAATCACAGCCCCAAAAAAAAAAAAAAAAAAAAGATGTCAGTTTGCGACACGTCATCATGCACAACCTATCATGCGCGCCACAGTTCTAGTTAACTTGTTATCATGGTTTTCAAATGCAGAATTTTAATTCATTACCTGCGTGAAGTTGGCCCCCCACCCAACGCAAAATAAGGCCAAAATGGTGTCATCCGTTTGTGCTGCAAAAAGTTTCGTTTGTTCTGTTACGGTATTTGAGATATTAAACAATATCTATAGGGGTCATCCACAGGTCACTCAGCCCCCCAGATAGCTCCAAATTGGACAAAAGTGGTGTCGTTCGTTTGTGCTTCCTGCAGAGCCAGTGCCTCCTCCCAGGGAGTGTGTGAGCTGAAAGCCCTGGAGGCAGTTACAGCTCTCTGCCTCCTTCCTCACCACATCCAGGACAGAATCCACCAGTTCACCTGCCTCAGTGTAGTACCCTTTAGCCCAGTAACTCCCTGCTCCACTCTGGCCTATCTTACATGCAAATAAAGAAATCTTTCACAGCTGTGGTGTCAAAATCTTCCAGGTCTTATCTTCTTATTCCATATCTTTTTGAAATATGACTTTACCATATTTGCAGATGAAACCATTTAAAAGCATTAAGTACTGTGTACACTGAATATTACTCTTGCAACTGTGATTCTATAGAAAACCATCCCATTTCCAGCTTTAAAGTAAGCACTTAATCACTGTATGGCAAATTTATCCACCCGTATTAAAATAAGGATAAATATTCACATTTAATTTCTCACCAAAGACGAAGTTGTCTGGTCTAAAGGCCTGGCCAAAGGGACCAGATCTCACAGACACCATGTCTCCTTGTTTTATGTTTCTTATCCTGCCTGATGTAATCTAAACTCGGCACATCCTCATTAACAAACGATAACTCCTCCCATCCTGCCATTGGACTCGCATGTTGCTGCTGGCTCTTAGACCTAGTGACAGCTAAAAAGCTCTCACTGGCTTCTCTAGCCCTAGCCGCAGGTAACTGCTTGGCTATCAGCTCAGCCAGGATTGGGAGGTCACATCCTAATAGGACCTGATAAGGAAGCAGTTCTAATACTCCTACTGAAAGCTGGTATGATTGCCCTTCAACCTGAATAGTTACATCAACAATAGGATATTCTACTTTATCCCCATGTATACAGCACACATCAACCCTCTCTTCACTAAACATCACATTTTTTGAAAGGGTATCTTTTCTAACAAAAGTGCGATTACTACCCGAGTCAAGAAGGGCTACGCAGGGTCTATCCTCAATAAATACCCCTGTTGTAAGCTCCCTCTGTTGTCTCTTTAACACATCATCCCCTTCCAATTCGCTACTTGATACCTGAGAAAAGCACAAATAGTTTTTACTAACTTGAGCCTTAGGACATGTTGCTTTCAAATGACCCGTTTGACCACATAAATGGCATGCTAACGGGACTTTGTTTCTTGCCTCAGTCTTGGGGTTCCGTTCTTTAATCCATGTGCGGAGATCTGGGTTAAAAACCTTAAAGAACTGTTCCATAATAATGATGTCTCCAATCTGCTCCCTCGTCTTAGCTCTTGGAGTCATCCACTTATCGTACAAATCCTTAAGACGCACCTGCAGCTCTCGAGGCGTCTCTCCTTCTTCCAACACACTGGTCCGGAACCTCACTCGATAAGTCTCTGCACTAATTTCAAACTTCTGTAACACAGCACCTTTTACTTTTCCGTAATCTGTCATATCATCAATGTCCATAGCGACATATGCTGCCCGAGCTTTCCCGGTTAACAATGGCGCTAGATGCAAAGCCCATTCATCTGGGGGCCACTGACAAGCATGTGCAATTCTCTCAAAAGTTATTAAATAGTGTTCAATGTCTTCATCCTCACTATAGGGCTGCATCTCAGGACTTTTCCACCCAGCAAACCTTACCAGGCTCGACTGATGTCCTCCGCTGGCTCTTTGCACTAGGTCCTCCCCAGACGTCTCCCGAGGCATATTTGGTATCCGATCTACGTAAAAGAGAGCATAAGTATGCCGGAGCTAGGCCTACCAAAGCCTTGTACACTAGCACCATCCAATGAACATGTCTTCGCATGCTCAGAGACGACCACTGTGCTTTAGCATACAGGTCGCAATGGTGCGTTAGTCGACTACAACCCGTCACAAACCTCAAGGCACTGTGGTAAACCACATTTAAAGAATGGAGACATCTAGCTGAGGCATTCATATACAGTACATCACCATAATCCAACAGGGGAAGAAAGGTCGCTCATATTAAATATTTGCGTGCTTGCAAGGAAAAGCAAGATTTATTACGATAAAAGAATCCAATCTTCACCCGTAATTTTCGAACCACATTAGCAATGTGGGTTTTAAAAGACAACTCACAATCAAGTAAAAAACCTAAGTACTTTAGCTAGAAACCAGCTCAATCAACACTCCCCGATTTGTTGTTATTGACAGAGTATCTGTTGATAGCTCCTGTAAATGCGAAAATGGGTGGGACTTTGCTAATTCATATCCTCTTGATGGACGGCGAGCAGCCAGAAATACTTCCGCTAATTCTGCTGCTTCACTAGAAGTTTTGGGGTTACGTTCTTTAATCCATGTGCGGAGATCTGGGTTCAAAACCTTAAAGAACTGTTCCATAATAATGATGTCTCCAATCTGCAGAAGGAATCAAGGTATAGATGAAAAAGAATGACACACTACTGGACTATCTACTTTGTGTGCTCAAATATATATCATTGTAGTTTGCTCTGTCTTTTAAAATGTGTTATTATTTTTCCTACAAAAGCCATTGTCTTGCATTTCACCTCAGTTTCACCTTTTTCAGTTTTTATGTTCTTATTCCTCTTTTACATCTTCTTTTTCCCTTCCTTATTATTCACTTTTCTTTTCCTAACACCAGAATAAAAAATAAAAAAAATATTTTTTAAATATTTGCTTGAGACGTGTTAAGTTTTAATGTGTTCTGTCTCCCATTAATGTTGAATATAACCTCATAATCATCAGTGTAGGCAGAGAGGTGAGTTCTGAAGAGGAGTGAAAAGAAAAGAAAGAAGAACACAAAAGAAGAGTGGCAGGTATTTGGACAGCAGTGGGTCCAACTCTGAAACCACCTACCCCAGTGACCTTCAAAGGGAACATTAGGCAGATACTGTAGGTGCACGCACATACACGCATCTCCTTCACACATGCTTACACTTATAGTTTTATACACAGTAGTACTGTCTTACTTCTGCTGTATTTTTGGCTGATGCGTCTGTGGCTGTGTGAGCTGTGCGCAGGCCCCAGGCCGCTCCTTTAGCAAGTCATTTCTCCTGGTTGTTTGAACTCCAGTCGCCCACAGAGCAGCTGTTCTGTATGGATCGTAAACCAGACCAATCCAAGTGGACTTACAAGTCACTGTACAGGGGAGATGTATCAAGGTAACACAAATACACACAAACATACACTCTGCAACATTTGGATAGGGCTGTGACATCTTTGAATTATTATTATTTTTTAATTTGATGAAGTTCAAGTGGCTGAGTGACTATACCTGCTCACATTCTCTACACATGATTCTACTCTTCACCACAAACATGTCAAAAGGAACTTACTGTTGAGCTGTGGAAAATCTCTCTGGATGTTAATAGTAAACATTAAAGATTCTGTGTGCTGAAAGTAGGTTTAAAAATAATAGTAGCAAAACATCTACATATATTAATGTGGCATAGATCATCATTTCAAGGATAATTTTGAAACTATGTGTGTTCCAGGTATAAGAGGAAAGGCAGCTCATCACTGGGTCTGGACCCTCACAGGCAGGAAGTCAGCTGGGAGGAGTCAGAGTCAATTAAGGAGCAGAAAGGTGTGGACAAGAAGAAAGCAGCAGACAGATACTTTTCTACTGTCAGCTGCCAGCTCCTGAAGGCTGAGCCCCTAGTTCTTACTTTATCAATGATTCCTGAGTACAGTGATGTCATCAAATTCACCCCCTTCCTTCTGCTAGGCGATGACAAGGAAACAAAGGAGGACAGACAGGTAAGCTACAGCAGGTGGAGACAAGGCAGACATTTACAGAAATCAAGCAGAGACCTTAGCTAGTGGTACTATTTCAATGTGAAAAATGTTTAACAGAACTATTTATTTTTTATTAGACTGTATAAAAAGATGGACAATTGAAAAGTGAAGCCACCACATTATACCACCTCTGCATTATATTGTGTTCTTGCTGTACTTTTACTTGCTTCCTTCACTTGCTGCTTTAAAGTGCCTTAGATTTGTGTTACTGCCTATTTAGATTTGTGTTATTGCTCATCTACTTTATATTTCACTTGTATTGTGTGGCATTCATGTGGACAGCAAAGTAAGAATTTTGTACAGGGAAACACGTTTCCTAACTGTTAGGTTATTTTTTAGTTAGATAGATATTCAGAGATTTGTTGTCTAGGAATGTTTAATGCAGACAGGGTGACTAGCTTAGGCTGTTAAATGCAAGGATAGTTAAGGCAGAGAAGGGCTCAAGTCAGGGACAAATGTTATTATGACGGTAAAAGTAACCATAATATTTGTCTTAATGTGTAATGTTATGTCAAATTGTTTTAGATACACACCACGAAAACAACAGCCACACACATTATTTTCTTCATGTTTGGTCTACTGCTCTGCTCAGCTGCCAAGCTGGCATATCAGGTGACGTCACGGTTCGACAGCCCAGAAATGATTAATATTGTATAGCAATGCGTGGTTCGGGGTCTTGCTTGGTTCGGGGTCTTTTCTTTTTCCGGGCTGCTTTGGCAGCCTGGGGGTTGGAAGATCTCTGGACTGGAAGTGTGAATTCTTGCCTGTGCCTCTTTGAATAAACCAGCACGGTTATATTTTTATATACTCAAGTGGTCTGAGTCGTCCCTCGGAGTTCCTGGTTTGAAAGAACCGGACGAGGCTTTATAATGGAAGAGAGCCTTTACTAACTGTGCATATGACAA